GTGAATCAACAATGATATTTTAATTGTCTTTGTAACAAGATGTGTGTGTTAATAAACATTTAACCATAATTAAATATTGTTGTGTCTTCTGGTACACAAACAGACAAGTGACATGTTCTTGTTTTGACTTGTACAGAATACCAAAAGAACTGGAGAAGAGACCACAATGGATCTAGATGATTTGATGTGAATACTGACAGCCATCCAGCATTGACTGCTTGTTATGTTAAAGGTAAGAAAAATATTTAATTATCAACAATAGTAGTCAGTGTTAATACTATTGTTAAACAGTTTCAGGGATTGGTTTATATAAATGTGGTGTGCTTGTAAATGTGTAATAATAACTTTTTTTAACATCCTGCTCACAGGTAACAATAAACATTGTTTAACCATGACTTGGAGCAACATAAAGTTAGACTTCTGTAAGCAAATAATCTGTATAGCTTAGTTGTTAATAATTTCTGAACTGGCAATCAGGAGATAAGATAAATACCTGACCAGAAGTTGGGCCTTTGTTTTTTATTTACATAAATAATATTGATAGGGAACCATAACTGAACAAAAGGATCTTGGTACAGTAGTCGATAAGTCACTCAAGTCATTGATACAGTGCTCTGTTACTACTAGTAAAGCTGATGTAATTTTATGGTGTACTTACATTATACTGATGGTGTACTGATTAGAAGAAGTCAAAAGAAGTAGTTATCTTTCTATATAGATCACCTGTTAGGTTTCACTTGTACAGTTTTGGTGTCCTTATCTAGAAAATAATATTGACTTATTGGAAAGGGTTCAGAGGAGGGCAACTAGGATGACTCCAAAGATGAAAGACAGATTTTATAGGAATAGGCTAAGATCTTTTATTTGATTTTGAGAAGAGTAAGAAGTGATTATTGAAGCTTATAAGATTATCTGGGTGATTAATAAGATAAAGTCCTCTAATTCCTTTGTTATATATTTTGAAGATAATTCTACAAGAAGTCACAAGTTTATGGTTTGGAAAAGACAGGCCATTATAAGACTTGAAATATTTCCAATATTGATTAAGATTAAAAGACCAACATGAAGGTTGTTGTAGCCAACATCATAAAACTGTTGTACAACTTTGATGTTAAAATGTTTACAATTACACATAAAAATGTACATTAAACACTAAATAACCATGCTATTGTTTTATGCCACCAGAGGGCTGCAGGTATTTCACTTCACAAGGATCTTCTAAAAAACCATTATACAATGTAAACTGAGGATATTTATCAACATTGACATCTAAACAAATATTAGAAGTCACTGCTTATGTCATAAGTATCTGTTAAACTTAATTCATCCTTTGTAACAAATAGTGCTGCCTATCCACTAATATCATGTAGGTCAAGAACTTTCTGTAATGAATTATGTTGTACTTCTATGATTCTGTTAGGAATTTTTGTAACATTGTGTGGTATGTAGGCATACTATGTGTTTGTTACTCTTATTTTAATATAGAATTTTTCTTTTCCAAAATTTTCATTTATTCATATATTTGCATTTTTCACATAGAACATTGTTCAAGAAAGTTCTTTCACTCTATCTGCCTATTGTTCTGTGTCATTCACCCAAGATATCATCTTTGGCTTCCTTTGAGAAAGGTTTCTAACAAGGTTCTATGTGGTATGTGAAAATAGCAAGTGACCTTTTCCAATGGCAGGTCAGGTAATGTCTTGAGGCTAGAGCCTCTCTTACGTTTCAGTGGGAACGATAGTCACATGAGTGACACAAGTATCTTTGGAGAACATAGCATTGTTTTTTCATACATAGTGCTATGTTTTATCAAATTCAATGACTGACTTGGTCTAATAGAGAGCCATTTCCAGTAAAAGGAATATCTTGCATCCAAAATAATAACATAGTGTGTTTGTTAGTTAAATATATATAATTTCATTGTGCTTAATCTCTTTCTTTCTCAAACTCAGTCAGGTCAGAGAATTCAGGTTTAATTTGTATTATATTTCCTGTTATTCTGTTTTGAAGAAAATCAGTTCACTTGAGAATACCACATTTTGATAGCAAAATCCATATTTAGTTATTCCTTTGACATTTTCTGTTGAAGGTTTCAACTTCTGCTATGTGTGAATTGCCTCGATCATCCAAGGCAATAATTTACCTTTTGTGTCTTCCTTTACTAAAAGTAAACAACAGTGTTGAGGACAGTATTGGAATTTTTCTAAACTTTGATGAAGGATTAAAATTGTTTCTATATAAGATAACAAAACTAATATGAAAAAGTTATTGCAATAAAGAAACTAAAGAATTTTTTAGAAAAGTTGTTATTGGAATACTGTGGGAGTTTATCAAGAAAGCAGGATATTTATTTGAGAGAGTACTTTTATTGTATGTGTTAAAAGTTATGATCAAAATCTTGTGGTCTGTAGGAGCTCTTCTTGTATATGCTGAGAGAAGTGTGGATTATTGCTTGGTTTTCACCTAGAAAAAGATGAACACAAGTAGTCAGGTTTAAATATTTTTTTTCCAGTGCTTTTAAGAGTCTAATTACCTATAAATGAACTGGCTTCAAAGAGGAATTCTTGCTGTGGCTTATCCTGAATGTGACATCATGCAGCACTGTCAGGATATGAGACGGAAACCATGTTAGGCCCAGGATTGTTGCGATAGTTGGGGCATCTTTGATTCAGCTGTTATAACTTTCACTGTCATCCTTACACACATTCTATCACTGATAACTCAGTTTGTTCCTTTTTGTTGGTCATACAATTTTTTTTTGTCTTCTTTTGCCTTTTTCCTTCCACAGCCCCACGCAGGATTGTATATACAAGGGTGCCTGGTTTTCTCATCACGTGACCAAACCATTGTAGTTTCCTTCTTCTCACAGTTTCTAGTAATGGATCACGGGTGTTAATTTTTTTGTACACTGTCCTTTATAAATGACTTTTTTATAGTTATAGGTAATGTACACACGTCTTCTGAAGCATCTCTTTTCAAACACTTCTACTTTCTTGTCCAATTTGTTTGTAAGGATCCGTGTTTTATCTTTACACAGTGTTGTTAAGGTAACTTCAGCAATAAGATGAAATTTTTTTTTAAATATTATGTCCAGATTTTTTGTGCCAAGATATTTCAAACTACTGATCTTTTCTACTTTCTCTTCTCCAGTCTTGATATCATTTAGTGTTATATGATCAATGCTAATGGTTAGAAATCTAGTAAAGGGGTGACATAGCAAAAGAAAACATGTTTAGTTTTTTGGACAATTTAGAATATAAACATTTCATGAGTGATTTAAAATTTTTACATACAACATACATATGTAATATATATATATATATATATAACAATAAACATTACAAGTTTTAATACAGGGAAAAATCTATGCAACACACACAAAGGGAAAGAAAATAGTAAAATGTAATATATCAAAATAAGGAGGGCTGAAAGGAACTGAGGTTATTATTTCGGCTGTGGTGATTCACAGACTATCTAATCACAGCCTTGTTGTTTGATGATCCTGATGTTAAGAGTTTTGAAGTTACCAGTAGATAAAGGGTGGTTACTAATTTCACAGTGTGTGCAAAAAGGAGGGAGTACATGGACATATAAGTTGTTGACTGGTTCTACTTGAGTCTCCTAGTTATTTATAGCCACATATTTTTAATTGGCTGATGTTTAGTTTTGTCAGTATAGGTGGCTTTAGAGTGATCACAAGTGTACTTGTAAACGACCCATGAATGTAGAGAAGTAGATAGACTTTTAAAGAAGTTGATAATTTGGAAAGACATGAAAAGTAACTGTAGTTAAAAGTTACTTATAATATTCATAATTTGTTTTCCTAAAAACAGAAGGACAAGCAACTTTAAAGCATTGTGTGATTTGTTTAGTCTGTGCTATTTTATTTGTAACAAAATAATGTTATTCTTTCAAGATGTTGTATCCTATTAATTTGGTTAATTACCAGATTGAATTTGAACAAATCTGATAGAAAGCTGTGAAAAGAAATTTATAGACCAATAAAAGTTTTCTCTCGATGCAGATGTTGTAAACTGTTTATTCTGTTGGATAACTTGAACATCTAGAAAGGGCAGTTTATTTGTAGCTTCAGTTACATAGGTCCTGAGATATACTTATTCGAACTAATGTTTTGTGTTTATCCTCATTTCGTAATCCTTTAAAATGAATTGTTGCTTTTCTTCATGTTTTATGGTAACACTTAGCCAATCTGGATTTAAAGGTGTCACATTTTTTTACTATAACTATGACATTACATTTGTCATCTGAAAATTATAATGTTATAATTGTTAGCAAGCTCTTTTAAGGCAGCAAGTTCATCATGAGTGAGAGGAGAGGAGGTTTTATGAGAGTTATAGTGATTGAAAGATAGAGCATTATTTATTTTTTTTCTAATAAAGTTTTCTAAAGTTTGGGTGTCATTTTTGTGGAATATTGAAAAGGATTTGTAAGCAATCGACTTGAAACATGTAGGTTGTGAAATTAAATTTATGAGAAGATAACCAGTAGTTTTAAGCCTTTAGTTAATGTAGTTTTAGCTTGACTAAAGTTAAAAATGAGCCTGTTTGTGTCAGTATTATTCAAGGTTGTCTTAGGAGAGAGTTTAGTTTCACAATTTGAACATGTTCAAATGGGCAGTAGTTGTAATGTTAAGTCAGATTAATAAGGTGGTTGGAGTTGAAGTAAGCTGTATAGTTATATACTCATAGCAGTAACATCTTCATTAAGATAGTGTACATTAGAGTAACAAATTCTTCCTGTCTAAAGACGTAAAACAATTTGTCCTTTATGAATAATCTATTTTTTTTTTTTCAGACTTGGGAGACAATCAAGAATTCTTGGCAGTAATGGATGGAATATCATAACCAGTACACAGTAAGTTTATATTATACTGTTTGTTATACACCTTTAAGTTATTTTGTTATACACAAAATGTTAACTGTGGCTATTTAAACAACTATCAGTTTTAGTGCAGATGTTATTTTTAAACCTTAACTACATTTTTTTTTATAAAACGTTTTTTTTTAAATGTAAGGTTTAAATGTTAGAAATCATGATAAACAACAAAAAGATCAACACATAAATATGGTAGTTTATGAAATATACTCATAAAGAACATTACATTCCAAATATTTATTATCATAATAACCCTCACTACAGGTGTTTCACTTAACAGTGATCTTTTAAACAATACAAACTGAAAATATTTATCAACATATAAACAAATATAAGAAGTCACTGCTGATGTGATTTTCTCATAAATATCTGTTCAACATAAGTCATCTTTGGTAACAACTAGTGCTGCCTATCCTCTAATACCATGTAAGTCTAGAACATTCTTCCTGTGGGAGAGGTTTCTACAAAATTGTACATGGTATGTGAAAATAGCAAGTGACTTTTTCAACTGACAGGTCAGGTAATGTCTCAAGGCTAGAGTCTCACTTATGTTTCAGAGGCAATGACAGTCACATGAGTGACACAAGTATCTTTGGAGAACATAGCATTGTTGTTTCACATGTATAGTGCTATGTTTTATGAGATTCAGTGACTTCAAGTTAAAGTCTAATAGAGAGCTATTACCAGTAAAGGTAATATCTTACATCTATATAAATAATACCTTAGTGTGTTTGTTTGTCAAATATATATTGTTTCATTGCGTTCAGTCTCTTTCTTTCTTAAACTAAGTCAGGGTCAGAGAATTCAGGTTTCGTTTGTATTATATTTCTTGTTATTCTGTCTTGGAGGAAATCAGTTCACTTGAGAATATCACATCTTGATAGTGCTATCTATTTTTATTTGTTTCTTTAATTTCTTTAGTTGAATGTTTTCAGCATATGTTATGTAAACAGGTCCTAAATCTTACAAGGTAATAATTAACATGTCTTCTTTTACTAAGTAACAATACTGAACCATGAAGAGGTGAACATGACACAGAAGTTTGTCGTATTTACAATCACCTCACGGTTGCTCTACCAGACAAGCTAAGATTAACGTAGCATGTAAACATACCAGGTTTATATTTTGTTGTTATTAGAATACTGTGGTAGTTGTATTTATCAAGAAAGCAGGATCTTTATTTGAACATTTACTTTTACTGTGGTAGGGAAATGAATGTGTTAAAAGTTCTGGTTAATATCTTGTGGTCCATACCAGCTCAACTAGTATGTATTGATAGAATATTCCTGGTGTACAGGTGAACACAAGTAGTCAGGTTTTAATTACTTTATAAGTATTAAATTACTTATTAATGAACTAGTTTCATAGAAATGTGGCTCATCCTGGATGTGACATCATGCAGCAGTATTGTGATAGATTAATTAGATGGAAACAAAGTCAGGTCCATGATATTTGGGGCACACTTGATTCAGCTGTTATAACTCTTTAGGTTTCCCGATTCTCTGTCATCCTTACACACATTCTATCACTGACATCTTACTTTATTCTGTTTTCTTACAGTTTGTTTTCACAACCCCATACAGGATGGTATTTACAAGGGTGACTGGTTTTATCATCACATTATCAAACCACTGTAGTTTACTTTTTATCACAGTTTCTATAAACAAATCACAGGTTCTGATTTTCTGTATAATTTCCTTTTGAACTGACTGGTTCCTTCTATACATGTTATAGTGAATGTGAACGTCTTCTGATGTATCTTATTTTGAAGACTTTTATTTTCTAGTCTAATCTGTTTATAAGGGTCCATGTCTCACTTCCTGATAGTACTGTTAAGGTAACTATAGCAAGAACACGGAATATTGTTTTTAACATGATGTACAGATTTTATTGACTTTTTTGTTCCAACTTATTAAAAACTGCTGAAGTTTTATAATTTCTCACTAATATCCTTGAGTGTTACGTGATCAGTATTAACACTAGGAAACTAATATCCTTTAGTGTTACGTGACCAGTGTTAACACCAGGAATCCAATATCCTTTAGTGTTACATGACCAGTGTTAACACTAGGAATCTAATATCCTTTAGTGCTACGTGACCAGTGTTAACACCAGGAATCTAATATATTTATTGTTACGGGACCAGTGTTAACACAAGGAATCTAATATCCTTTAGTGTTACATGACCAGTGTTAACACAAGGAATCTAATATCCTTTAGTGTTACATGACCAGTGTTAACACAAGGAATCTAATATCCTTTAGTGTTACATGACCAGTGTTAACACAAGGAATCTAATATCCTTTAGTGTTACATGACCAGTGTTAACACAAGGAATCTAATATCC